TTTTCAGCATCGCGGCTTCTCCTGCACATCTAGAAAGAGAGGAGGAGAGAGACAGAGAGAGAGAGAGAGAGAGAGAGAGAGAGAGAGAGAGAGAGAGAGAGATTTGACACACCCTACAACGAGTCAGTGAGCAGAGGAGAGCGCGCATATTTAACAGACAGTAGACTAGCAGAGATACAGAGACAGTAAGAGGTAGTTAAAGACCTCATATTTAATTTTGTTAGACATTCATTCTTGATAATAAACACCTTTCTCAGTCATTCTTCTACAGATCTGTGTAGCATTAAAAATTGAAAATGTCTTTATTTTAACAGCTTCCAACATATTCTTTGAAATCTTTAGAATATTAAAATTATATCATAATCATTTTATAAATTTTCCTGCAACGAATTGATTGTATATCATTCAAAACAGTGAACTTTTAAAAGGTGATTACATAAGTTGCACTTGCATTGTTATGATTGATGCGGTTGTGTAAAATGTTTGGCTGTAATGTAATGCACCCATTAAACTGCTGTTTTAGATTAGTATGTAACATTTTACCTGATCAACATCATTGTTTTCATTCTGAAATTAATACCTACGACATGTTCCAAAAAAGCTTGGGGAATTTAAGACTAGGAACATTGTGAAATGTTCAAAAAACATCCTAAACAGATGAAGTAATCATGCTTGCATAAAAAAGGAGCAACCGGGAAAGCGAGGAAAAGTGAGGATGACATGGCTGCGTAATCCGAGTGTGTTTTGCTAGATTGGCCTGCATGCAGTCCAGAACTGTTTTCCATTGAAAAGGTGCAATGAAGGATCCATACGGTTTCACAGCTGAAGACTTTTATATCAGACCTATGGCAAAAAATCAAGCTTTCAAAATTAGTTTAGTTTTTGTCTTCAGTCTCCAAATGATTATTAAGTGTTGTTAAAAGAAAAGGTGATGTAACACAGTGGTAAACATACTCCTGTCCCAACTTTTTTGGAATGTGTTGCCAGGCATCAAATTTGGATTGAGCATATATTTACAAAAAAGGTAAAAGGTAAAAAATAAAATGTTCTGTTTTTTTTATTGTCTTTCAATCTAAACTTTCAAACTATTAGTCATTCCTGTGTGATTTATCAAACTGGGCCTGGTTTTCAGCCTGAATTTGACCTTGATGTGCCCCTTCTGACAAATTTTCACAATCTGAAGCAATTTTCCAGGTCAGGATCTTGATCGGAAGTGATGGAGGGGATGATCTGGTAATGTGAGAAAGGAAACGAGTCAGTCTTTAACCCTCTGATCGAGCTTGAAAGTAATCAGAGGCCCTTATCTTTTCAACATGTTTGACAGAGACTCAAAATGTTCACAGGTCCCATAATGTGAGATGGTCAGTGATGTAACTAAACAATGATTCAGACAAAAGCCAATGAAAGAGCCTGAAGTGTGGAGAAAAAAGGTGAAGAGAGACACGCGTGCACTCCACCAAGGACCACAGAGACACACACTCAAAAAAGGTACAGAACTGTCCCTGGGGCTGTACCCCTCTTGTCACTGGGGTGGCACTCTCAAGGGTACATCTCAGTACCTTTAGTCAGGGAACATAACTGTACCATAATCCATTGAAATCATATTTTCTAAGTTGTACTGACTCCACACACCCCGTCTCGTCTCCAGGCTTTTTATTTTATTGCTCTTTTTTAAAAGGTACAAATACGTACTTTTCACCAGGAAAAACATATTTTCATCCACAATCAGACCTTAAAACCACTGCTGTGCCTTTGAGGGAACATTTACATTGTTTGTACCTTGGTGAATGAAAAATGTATCTGCACAGCATCTTCATTTCTAATGGTGCAAAGGGGCTGATCGTTGAGTTCAGGCCAATAATCTCTCTCTCTACTATTTAAAGTCAGTAGCCAGTTCATAGTAAAATATTTCTCCAGTTCTGACTGTGATATCTGCGTTTGAACCCCATGTTCATCCCTAGTTTGCATTTTCACTACGCTTCTTGTGTGTGCATAAAAACTTAAGTAGGCTGATATGTGTGTTGTACCCCCTTTTTTGCCTTAGTGTCTAGTCTGCCCTTCTGCACCACAAAAATGACAGGAAATTCTGTTAAAGACGGGCGTTAAATGTGATGCTTTCTATTTTTGAGACCTCTTACAGTTATAAATAAAGGTTCTGTGCAGGTACGTTTTTTGTACATCATGGTACAAAAATCGTAAATGTACCCTTAAAGGTACAACAGTGGTTTTAAGGTCCATTTGTGAACCTTATATAAGTTTTTTTTTTCTCAGTGGATAAATACATGTATCTTCTAATAACCTAATGTTTTAAAACAGAACAGTGAAATAAAAAGCCTGGAGGCGAGACGGGGTGTGTGGAGTCAGTACAACTTAGAAAATATCATTTCAGTGGATTATGGTACAGTTATGTGCCCTGACTAAAGATACTGATGTACTCTTGCGGGTGCCACCCCACTGACATGAGAGGTACTGCCCCAGTGACAGTTTAGCACGTTTTTTCTGAGAGTGCAGGATTTTAAATGTTGTCTGGTGTAGGCCCGGCTTTAGACTGTCTACCAAAATAACTACACAGCACTTTGTAGATTATAGACTCTCTTATTCTTAATCTCAAAACTGTTGGTCATTTCAGTGCAATTTAGTTAAACTGTCTTGGAACCTATCATCATGTTACCTAAATAATGATCCAGTGCTTTGGAGTTGGTACCTAACACTTAAGTTGTTAATACCTTGAACTTAAGGGACTGTAAAAGAAAGTGTGGTAACACTTTCTATGAATGTCACCTTTGTAAGCATCTATAAACACATTTATAACATGTTATAATGTATTCATAAGGCATTCTAAACATGGTTATAAATATTTATAAGAATAGCCATGTTTATTATACATTATGAATTGTTAATATAATAATGGTGGTGTACATTGACTTTCCCACATTGGGTAAAGCACTGATGGCAGCACTAGTTTAAACTCTGACATTTGAAGCCTGTAATGAGCTTTATTGTGTATGTTTTAGTGTTTCAGTAAATCCTTCAGTAAATACTTCAACTTGAAGAATCACTCTTAACACTGCAGCAGGCTTTAGTACAGTATGCTTCACTTTACTTAGAGCGGACAAATACGACTTATGAGCTCTTATAACTTGTTATGATCAGTGCTTATAATGCATTATGTTAACAATTCATAATGCATAATAAACATGGCTATAACGTATAATGCATTTTTTATAAACATTTATAACTATGTTTATAATGTCTTACGAATGCATTACAACATGTTATGAATGTGTTTATAGATGCTTACAAAGGTGACATTCATAGAAAGTGTTACCAAAAGTGTTACCTGTATTTCTTTGGCTTCAGCTGATTTATTTCATTTTATTGCTTTTAATGTTAATCTCAGCATAGATTAAATTCCAAAGATATTCTTATACTTACTTACTTACCTGAAGATGGACAAAAGACTTAAACATGGCTGTTCCTGCTGCTGTTTTTAGCTGTGTGTACATTTTTCCAGCCCTGCATTACGTTCTTACCTTTGTCTACTGACTACATTCGGGGTAAAGGGAACATTTACTAGACTATTCCTATAAGAGGCATGCTTTATGTTTTACCCCATAATGGAGAAGGCCACCAACCAGCTGCTCAGCACTGCGAATGAATATGTCTTCAGGATCAGTGAGAGAAGATCCCCATCATTTATTATCTTTCATTAATTCTCACTAAGTGTATGTTTGTATGGCAGACACAGTGACACACTGCAAGACCTCCTCTTTAGCATTGAACTATTAAATAAGCCAATAGTCCTGTGCTTTTCTAGCAAGCGATGAGAACCTGTTTATCTCTGAGTGATGTTTAGCAGGACAGATTGGTCAGCTCTGCTTTCCCCGCTTCTGCTGGCTTCCTCCTCACAACTCAGCGACACAGCAAAGTCTCCCTCTACTGGCTGGTAGACATCACTGCATCTTTGTTCGCGCTCCAGGTTCATGAACTCAGTGGAAAGTAGAAAGGGAGAAAGGGGCAGTTTCAGGACACGCATCTGGAAAGGATCTCCTGTTTCTGGTGCTCTCATGGACACGTCATAGCAGAAGTGGAAGACATTCCTGCCTGATGTTTTACGTTCATGCCTTTTAGACGCTCTTACCAGCCGGGAACAGCAGCTCGAGCCACGCTTCAGACAAGTTTACAAAAGTAATGTCTAGAATTTGAGATGAAAACGGAAGAAGAGCCAGATCTCAGTCTGTCCAAAGAGACAGAAGTCTCTAAACTCAGCTTGAAGAGTGGAGAGTAATGTTTTTTTGGCAGTTATCGCTTTGCCATAAAACAAATCATATTTATTATGTTGGATCTGATTATAGCCTTCAAAGATGTTGTTGATGAAGTTGTAGTGCTTGGTCTTCTTTAAACGTTTCTTGCTGAAGGTCTTAAGTGCTGCTGGGTTTTGCAGTCACAGAGCAACATAGATCCTGATAAAACTATGATTTTTTGGGTATTTTTTGTTTGTTTGTTTTTTTTTTTGGTTCAGACTCAAGTAGTTCATATTCCTCCAGATTTTGCACAGCTGTTTTATTGAGCTTCAGTTGTGTCTCTTAGGCCCCATTATGTAGGATAATGTAGTGCAATGTGTGGTTGATGTAATTGTGAAGGACGTGTTGAGTCTCCTTTAGAGTCTTAGTAGCTGGGTGAGTGTACAGACTTTTCCAATGGATTTTACACACTAAGTTTTTTCACTCTCAAATCCCAATACATTACTGTCGTAGCTTTACTGCTGATGTTCTGGCTATGCGTCATTCACATCTGCAGCCCTTAAACTGTATTTTACTGGCACACGTTTTTCCATGAAAGTGTTGTTAATCAGAATGTGTCGTCCTCAGCATGAAAACTAAAGAAGCACACTTCAGACAGAAAGCACGCCATGGCTGACCATGTACTTTTAGGATAAGGAGGGGTAATTATGTCATTTTTTCTCAAAGCAGTATGCATTCTGTGTGGTCTGATTGCAGTCTGTGAGCCTGATTGAGTTGGGGAACCCGTCTCAGAGTCTGGAGAACGTGTGCCGCTGGGCGTTCGAGCAGCAGAGGAAGGACACCAACGACAAGGAATACCACGACCATGCCATCTTCCTCACCCGCCAGGAGTTTGGACCCACAGGAATGCAGGGTACAACACACAGAACAGACATAGGCCAACTCTACAACCTCTGTCCTCTCTCAGTGGACACTGTGGCTCTGAATTCAACTGTAAAACCAACAGAAACACTACAGACACAGATGACATTAACACCATGACAGGAGCCAAGCTCTATACTGTATGTCTAATAGTCTGTAGACTCGTCCTCATCCAACAGTTCTTCTGAAATGTGCGGTATTATAGGGAGTTTGTCCTCCCTTTACTGTAGTAACAGCCTCTACTCTTCTGGGAAGGCTTTACACTAGATGACTAGGCTTTACTAGATGATGGAACATTGCTGTGAGGATTTGATGGCATTTAGTCACAAGAGCATTAGTGAGGTCAGGTACTGATGTTGGATGGTCAGTTCTGGATCACCCAAACTCATCCCAAAGGTACTGGATGGAGCTCCATTACTCCAGAGAATGCAGTTCAACTGCTCCACAGTCCAATGCTGGGGGGTTTTATACCCCTCTAGCTGACACTTAGTCCACAGTGTCCAATCCTATTGGTCAGTGCCTCTCTATGGAGGTTTATTAGTGTGCTATCAGAAGTAAACAGGCTGTCAATGACTTCTGTTCTGACTGGCTAATTGACCGATCGTGATTCATGACATCATGACATCAGAAAATAATGAATTAAAATGGGCTGGTTAGCAGCTTACTCTCTATATGTGGACTGGATGGACTGGTCAGTGAACTTCACGGTGTTTCTATACTGCATCAATCGCTTTAATTCTAAAAACAGCAAGGTAAATTTGGCTTTCCAGGAAATGGGCCTTTAAGAACGACGTAAAATGCACTTAAGTCACTCCTTTCAAATGCTACAATCGTTCATTTGCTTTCTGACAGGCAGGAAAAGCACAGACTGTGCATTACTTCAACAGTAACATGGGCCTTAAACAATACTTGGCTCATTGTAGTGACCTCACATCCATGATGAGTGCAAAATAGGCTGCTCTTGCAGCTTAGTTTCCATGTATAGACTGTATGGACTGGAGTCTGTGTTTGGGTGTGAGCAAACATATCAAAAAACCCCTGAGCTAAGCCAAGTGGTCCTGTTCGCTTCTAGGTTACGCTCCTGTGACGGGCATGTGCCACCCGGTGAGAAGCTGCACTCTGAACCATGAGGATGGATTCTCCTCTGCCTTCGTAGTGGCCCATGAGACCGGCCATGTGTGAGTATCTGTGTGTATATTGGCTTTGTGAACATGTTCCTTAATTTCATATCAATGCTATAAATACAGCGTGTGCAGTAATGTATTACTGCGTCTCAGGGGTACATTGTGAGGTACATATTGTGAGGAGTGCATTACCCTTGGCCAGCTTCCAGACAGCGGCTCTCTGTTTTCATCAGGGATTGGCAACGGTGCAGGGAACCCTAAAGAAAAATATTTTTCACAGAACATAATTGAAACCAAGAACACAGAGGAGTGAAAACGCAGTTTGTTATCCTTTTTTCAGAGAATTAAAGCATAAAACATTTTTCATTTTGGTTTGTTATAAACAGATTTCCCCACTCGTGCTTTTCTGATGTAGCGTACTGGGGGTATATTAGCTCTATTGAATTAACAATACAGGCAAATGAGTCAGTTACATTTTAGGTTTGGAAACAACAAAATAATAATGTTATTTGGTGATTAATCACATGTTGAAATAAAGGCTTTACTTTTAAATAGAAGTGACTTTGGTACTGTTAATTTTTGTCCCTGTTTCTTTTCTACTCTCTGCTTTAGTAACAGTAATGGTCCACATGTTCCTAGCATGTGTGTGTGTGTGTGTGTGTGTGTGTTATAGGTTGGGGATGGAGCATGATGGTCAGGGGAATCGTTGTGGTGATGAGGTGCAGATGGGCAGTATCATGGCTCCGCTGGTGCAGGCTGCCTTCCACCGCTTTCACTGGTCACGCTGCAGTCAGCAGGAGCTCGGACGCTACTTACAGTGAGTTACCTTCACTTGCGCGCACCCACACACTTAATACAATAGGATGTCGAGACATAATAATGTCATACATTATGCAGTACACACACACACACACACACACACACACACACATAATATAATAATAATAATTTGTTGGAACAAAACCTTGTATGTCCATTTTTATCATTTTTTAGTTTTTGACATAATTAGAAAATGCCTGTTTTCCCGTACATTATGTGCAAGTTCCATGATGAACTGACCAAAAGAAATGACATGAAAAACATTCCGGTTCCATTGACTTACATTAAAAGTCAAGTAGTTTATTGCTTCTCCTGTAAAGTTACCATTTTGGAGATATGAGGTTTTGTTCCGACAATAGCGATATGCATCATCACTGAATCCTGTTACGTAGCCTTACATTCAGTATATTGTCTCTGTTTGTAATGCACATGTGTGTGCTGCAGTGCTCCACCTGAGCCAATCCTAACCTTAGCAACCTGAAGGTCAGTTTTGGCCTCTTTTCCTATTTCTAACTAATAAAATCTCCAGTTTTGGTATTAAAAACAGTCAAATGGGGACCAGCCAACTGTCCTCCCTTCAACAATTTTCCTGTTTTTATTTGGAATGTTTCTCATCATACTGGGAACATTTGGTCCCCAGAAGAAACACGGCCACACACACACAGGCACGCACGCTGCTCCGTCTGCAGCCGAGAGGGGCTAGACTGCTACTTACAGCGAGGGAGACAAACACAAGCACTTAAACAGACATGCATGCTCTGCAACTTACTGCACATTAACACTTACATAAGCTACAGTTTGCTATTATTCACCACCACAGTTGGTTCAGACCTCACAAGGTTTCTGGCTCGCTGTAAACCCCAAAGTTGAAATTCATTAATTGAACTGAGTAAAGAAAATGTAATAGATGGTGAACAGTCAAACCAAAGTAAATACATAAAGGGTGTTTGACAATTTCTTCCTTTTTCATGTTCATTAGTAGAGAAAGTGGAGTTATGCAGCATTCTTTGCAGTTCTGTTGGTGTCTATTATTTAGCTGTTATTTCTCTTTAAATTCTTTTTAAGTTATTTTTAAGTAAAAGTGGGTGTTATCATGTATTATCCTCAAGCTGAAAGTTGTTTTGGATGCTTTTAGAAGTATTTGGTATATTTACTATTGCTGTGTTTCACAGTAACATACAAGTAAACAACCAGCTCACACAAAACCATTGGGATCTCCTGAAATGGGTGATTTTGGTAGTTTTAAATTTGTTTATTTGTGAAGTAGACCATTAAGTGTCATTCTTTGATACTGATGTTTACGTAATGCTTTTATCAGAAGCAAATTGTTTAAGTAGTAATTTAATTCAAGGGTTTAATTACAAGAACTATAACAAATCTTGTCCTAAGAAAACAACTATAATGAATCTTGTCCTAACCGCAAGTGATGCAAGTGAGCAAACAATGACAAAACCACAATTCTCCCACTGTAATCAGTGAAGCTGTTTACACCAGCCACAAGTGTTTGCTGAGCTTTATTTGGGCCTCAGAGTTTTGTTTGAATCTAGCCATAGAAATTTCTGTCGAAGCATGACTTGACTCAATACATAGCATTGTAGGATCACAGCAGAACCTGACTTGAATGTGACATTTTTTTCTGAACCTGGCCCATCTTGAACCACATCATCACATTTTGAATCTGAGTATAACAAACCTCTGTCTGAAACTGACCCGAACCGACCCATCATCATGCAAAGTGCAATTACTGTGTAGTCCAATTACCTATTGTCAATAGAGCATGGATAAATAAAATTTAAACAATATAACATAACACGCTATAAGAAGATGTTAAGCTTCACTTGTTTCTGCACATAGTACATATTGAACATTTAAAAATATTTTGGCCAATCAAATCAATACTGTTGACTGCAATAAACTGTCTTCTCCAGAGTCAATTCACTGTTAATGTCCCATTTTATAAGAGCGTGGGTATTGGTGCTGAGTTGCTGGGATTAATGGTAATGAATATGAATATAGTGAAGAATAAAGTAAAGAGAAAATCTAAAGCAGGGGAAAATCTGTTGAAATTTGGAGGTGGGCTGTGAGAACCTGAACATGAAACTGGAACCCAACCTGAGCTCAACACATTATTGAGATGATATCCGAACCTGATATGAGCAGTTGGGTCTATCAGGTACGGACAAATACTTTAAACTCTGCCAGTTGTGGCAAATGCCCTATTTCTATTTTCACGCATTGCGCTGCATCATTCTGATATTCCACCCCCAGTTCTCCGGTCAAAACATGGAGAAATTAGCATAAAATGAATAACGAGAAAATAATCCGTAAGGTGGAGAAAAGAGATGATGAGAATTTTTACAAAATATATATATTTTTTACTCTGTTTTTAAGAGAATATTGACAAAAATAAGATGGACATTGTTAGACATTGTGCAGCCAGTAATAACAGTTTCTTTTTAAATCTGCGGCCAGTTACTGATTTTGCATTAAAATCTGTTACACAAACATAATATGTAGCTAGTTTCCAGTGTAGACATCCTGAAGGCTTTTGCGATGCAATGCAGTCTACAAACAGCAGCATTTCACAGCTGCTGGACCAAAACCTTGTATCTCCAAAATGTAACTTTACAGGAGAATAAAAAAACATACTTTACTTTTAATGTAAGTCAATGGAAACAGACATTTTTCCAATTAATTCTGACTCATTTCTATTGGTCCATTCATCTTGAAATTTATATACAACATAAAGGACAGTAGGTATTTTCAAATTATGTCAAAAACTGAAAAACGACAAAAATGGAGATACAAGGTTTTGGTCCGATAGCTGCGATTTTCAACTATTTGTGTACTTATTTTCACTAAGACAATCAGCAAAACATGCCATTTGACCAGTGGGTGCCCAACTTTTTTTTCTTTGCGGAATATAAATCAACCTTCTTGTTATTTCTTCTTTGTTTCATCATTATCGCGAATTATAAATGTCAAATAATGAAACTGTGGTCTCAATAATGCAGTATTGATAATAACAATTCTGAGACCTTCACTCTTCTCTGCCTGTGCAGCTCCTACGACTGTCTGCGGGACGACCCGTTTGAGCACACGTGGGAGGAGCTCCCCCAGCTGCCCGGCCTGCACTACTCCATGAACGAACAGTGTCGCTTCGACTTCGGCACCGGATACATGATGTGTACAGCGGTGAGTGGCCCACCATCCACACAGTGTCACAGCTCCCCCCACTCGCAGCAATGCATTATGGAGTGGTCATATGGCATCGTAAGATTGCTATAAGCATGTATAACCACACTGTGGCCATCTGCTCATAATAGCTTTCTTCATTCTGAGTCAGTCATCGGGTTCATTATAGAATGATGAAGAATGATCCCGCTGCGACGTTATACATGCTACCACTACTAATGCATTATATGTGTGTCCAGCCGGTTCGACCATTAGTGATGATGTGAGACTTGAGATCACTAATGCTGTGCCTTTACGATACACCTTTCGTTTTTAATTAAGGTTTCAATTACAGACCAAACAAGACATTAATAACAAACAGTGATATTAATCAACTACAGACAAAATATAATGTAATATAGCACACTTTTCTGATCATTGTTAGTTGTGTTAGATTCAGGGCATATTAATATAAATACATATACACTGACATCAGCCATAGCATTAAAACCACCTCCTTGTATCTGCACTCATCATCTCCACTTACCATATAGGAGGACTTTGTAGTTCTACAATTACAGACTGTAGTTAATCTGTTTCTCTGCATACTTTGTTACCCTGTTCTTTAATGGTCAGGACCCCCACAGGACCACCACAGAGCAGGTATTATTTGGGTGGTGGATCATTCTCAGCACTGCAGTAACACTGACGTGGTGGTGGTGTGTTAGTGTGTGTTGCGCTGCTCTGAGTGGATCAGACACAGCAGTGCTGCTGGAGTTTTTAAACACTGCGTCCACTCACTGTCCACTCTATTAGACAATCCTACCTTGTCAGTCCACCTTGTAGATGTAAAGTCAGAGATGATAGCTCATCTGTTGCCGCACAGTTTGTGTTGGTCATCCTCTAGTCCTTTATCAGTGGTGACAGGACGCTGCCCACAGGACGCTGTTGGCTGGATATTTTTGTTTGATGGACTATTCTCAGTCCAGCAGTGACACTGAGGTGTTTAAAAACTCCAGCAGCACTGCTGTGTCTGATCCACTCATATCAGCGCAACACACACTAAAACGCCACCACCATGTCAGTGTCACATTTGTGCTGAGAATGATCCACCACCCAAATAGTACCTACTCTGTGGTGGTCCCTGTGGGAGTCCTGACCATTGAAGAAGAGGGTGAAAGGGGGCTAACAAAGTATGCAGAGAAACAGATGGACTACAGTCTGTAACTGTAGAACTACAAAGTGCTTCTAAATGGTCAGTGCATTTGATAAAATGGACAATGAGTGTAGAAACTAGAAGGTGCTTTTAAAGTTATGGCTGATTGGTGTATTTACAGGTATAAATGTAAGTCACTATTTAAATTGAAATTAATATGTTGGGTAACTATATAACAAAATGGCAGTAAGTCTAGACCTTTAAGATTTAACACTATTCTTGTACAGCCGTCCAGCATTACTTTAGCCATTTGGTGTCAAAAGCCAGTTGACTTTGTGTCTGGCCCTCTAGATGGAAAACATTTGCAAATATTTTACCCTTATTCATTCAGACAAGCAGCCTAACAGAATCAAGTCCAGATGTGGACAGTTCCAAAATGACCCTAAACCTCAGTTTGAGCGGATAATTTCTGATAGAGCAGATGAGTGTTCTGAGGCTCTGAAAGCATGACATTCCAACTAAGTACTTCTGCATGGACTGTACTTTACTCTCTTGTCAAACCATTCCTTTAGCTGCAAAAGGTGGGGTCGTCAGGAGCCCAGGTAAGGTAACCCACCTAATAGCCTCGTGGCCACTTCTTTCTTTTATCATTCCAAGTGATCATTTCACGTTTTGTTTCGTTTGTTTGTTCGTTTGTTTTGACCTCATTTTCACATTGCAAACATGTTTGCCGCAGGGTGTTTACATTCCCCCCAATAGTACCCCCTCTTGTTTATCGCACACAAATCTCATGTGGTCACCAGGAATCCTTTTATTATGGACCTATCCATGCTCCACCCCCACAAATATGTTATTTCATTGGGAGTTTTATGAGACTGGACAAGTTTCACAGAAGTCCAGGCAAAAAAATCCAATCTATTGAAAAATTTTAGTCTGTAGTTTTAGCAAAACAGCCTACTGGGTCACTGATTGACTGAGTGACTGACTGATACACTTTTTAGAAAAGCTCATGTGCAAGCACCACATCACCTGAATAGTAGGTAGCTGTACACACCTGGTCAAATGAAGTAACTGCATATTCATACCCCAAAAGTAGGGCTAACACACAACAGAATTAAACAAAGCAGAAAACACATCATGGGTCTTACAAAAACAACAAAAGCTCTTCCTAATAGTGAGGGCAGTAACAGCATAAGTACTGAGTGTTTTTAAGTTCAGGCTTCATCTGACTTCAGTTGGAAAATCTCACCTTGCAGTATATTCAATGTTTTTTAGCAATTTTTATTTTTCAGGTAAGGATAAAGTCATAGAAAGGATAGATGTGTTTCAGAATTATCACTTTATAACTACAACCTTGTTGTAAATAAAAACAGAGTACAATGATGGGCAAATTATTTAAACCCTATATTTAATCAACAATAGTACAAAGACAACATATCAAATATTGAAACTGAGAAATTTATTGTTTTTTGAAAAATATATGCCCATTTTAAATTTGATGCCAGCAATACATTCTAAAAAATTGGGACAGGGCAAGAAAAGACTGGTGAAACTGTATAAAGCTAAAAGAAAACAACTGGTGGAACATCCAACAACTAGTTAGGATAGTTGGCAATGGGTCAGTAACAAGATTGGGTATAAAAAGAGCATCCCAGAAACACTTCAGAAAACCTTCAGAAGACCACTGACTGTGAACACAGTTCATCACTGCATCCACAAATGCTAAAGTAAAAACTCTACCATGCAAAGAAAAAACATATATGAACTGGGTCCAGAAACGCCGCCACCTTCTCTGGGCCTGAGCTCATTTAAAACTGAGGGGAAGTGGGAAAGTGTCCTGTGGTCTGATGAATCAAAACTTTAAATTCTTTTTGGAAATCATGGACGGAGCATCCTCTGGGCTAAAGAGGAGACGGACCATCTGGTTTGTTAGCAGTCACAGTTCAAAAGCCAACATCCTTGATGGCATGGGGGGCATTAGTGCCTATGGCACAGCTTTGCACATCTGTGAAGGCACCATTAATGCTGAAACAATAGATACAGATTTTGGAGCAACATGTGTTGCCATACAGATGATGTTTTTTTCAGGGAAGGCCTTGAGTCCAGGTGCTGAACTGACCTGCCTGCAGTCCAGACCTGTCAGTCTTTGAAAACATTTGGTGCATCATGAAATGAAAAACATGATAAAGGAGACCCCGAACTGTTGAGCAGCTGAAATCCTATATCAAGTAAGAATCGGGAAAACATCACTTTCAAAACTACAGCAGTGTCTCCTCAGTTCTCAAACACTTACAGAGTGTTGTTAAAAGAAAAGGTGATGAAACACAGTGATAAACATGCCCCCGTCCCAACTTTTTTGGAATGTGTTGCTGACGTCAAATTTAAAATGGGCATATATTTGCCAAAAACAATAACATTTTCAAAAAACTGAGGTTTATGCCATAATAAGGTTGAAAGGGATTTTTGCCAGTGTTCTGTAAAACTTGACCAGCATCTTCGTGTGGAGAGCATGGCTAGGTCAGCTTGAAGCGTTCTAGCTTTTATACACCGTCTCTCCAACACCTTCAAAGATCCTAATGACTGTAATACTACAGTATTCGCCACACTAATCATATGTAATCATCCAGTTAGCCTGTCAAATCTGTAGCACAGCTAGCATTACAGATAAATGTCTTGTAAAGTATACACCAGGCAGAACAAAGCACTCAGCAGAAAGTTCAGGAGTGTCGAAAAGGACAGTTGACAGTTTTTCGGGCTAGAAAGTCCAACACTTTAGAGTGGTTGAGGGCAGTAGTGTGCTCGTGTTAGTTACGTTAGTCTATTTTCATGTATTTATTTTTTGCTTTCTCTCTCGTTTTGATCCTAAATGGCGGTCATGTGTCATCGCTATCCAGCATTTTGTAAGCTGACTGTTGTGTTTGGTCAAAAGCTGTATCAGAACCACCATGACTGAAAGTGTTGTTTTATCTTCTTCATTGTTATGCTTTGGTTTGCATGAAATGGCCTCCTGGGATTAAAATTGTCCTCCATATGTTTATACTGGTATCTTGGACAGTAACTCTTTAACGTTTACTGTTATAATGCTGTTATGAGAATGACATTAAATGACAATATAACTTCTCTAAAGTAGGTACCTTTATTCATCCTCAGTGCAGCATAAATTATTTAAAACCATGTACGTAAAGTCTTAAGACGGTTGGCTTGGCACTAAATATTTTGACTTCTTTGACCCAACTTGTTATTGCAACGTTGTAATGGTATTGTAACAGATTGCCTAAGGGAATAGATCAGTGGAAAATCAAAATTTCCATAAGTTGCCTCTTACTCCAAGTTAGGGATGCAAATTTTGGCGAATTCTTTTGACTGATAACTGAAAAACAATGACTGATAACAATTAACCCCTTCATATCCCAGGCCTATTACATACTAAGGCTTATTATTCAGTAAAGGAACTTCAGCACAAACTGGCTGACCTGTTTTTAGGTCATGGAAGTGTGTTATAGAACCGTTTAATTGGGTTTAATTGTCCCTGGAAAGCATAAAATCAAACCTATCAAAACTATCAATTCTAAAAAGCACAGTTCCAGCTCTGAAATCTGAGCCACATTGTAAAATACTTCATACTTGGGTCATTCTCCATTTGGGGTTGGAAACCATGTCACAAAGTTGCAGGGCTTAAAAAGATGCTTAAATATCAGGCACAGCTCCAAATTCAGTTTGCACATTTACACTGTTGACCTAAGATTAAATAATACTTTTCCCTTATGATTTCCCTAGATTTTTTGTTTTTTATCCTGTTTTATAATCACGCTGCATATGTAAAACAACTCATCACATAACCAGTTTTCATCATTTGAGAAACCTTTCTAATATAAAAAAAGAGGTTTAACTTAGGAATTTATACACAACAGATTCTTGAACTGTAATAAGCCCACCCTAAATAAGAACCTGGTGAACTGAAGAACTGAACATTCAGTAGCCCATTATTGTATAAATTTGAATCCTAACGGCACGTTAGGGCATGTTTAAACAAACATTTACAATTTTGCACACCCATGTGTCATTTTAATGTATGATTCTGTTGTAGTACTGATTTTGTCCTCCTGAATTCACCTTTTTAAGCTATATTTTTTGCATATTAAAAAAAAGAACCATTTTGACTTACAAACTAAAAAATTATGGACATTAAATAAATGAACTGTGCTGCCGTTAAGTGACTGGTTTACTTAAGATGGACAAAAATGAATCAACATACATTTCAATGAATGAAAACCAACTTAACTGAAATGTTTCTCTGTTCGATTAAATGTATATTTAATATGAACTTCAGTTATGTAAATTTAATCAAGTTCATATAATGATCGATTTTTTTGAGTGAATCTAGCAGAACCCACTGCTTGTTGCATCCTCTTGCGCAAAATTCAAAAACATTCCTCAACTTGAATGATAAACCTATCTATTGAAGTAGGAACAGATGGAAAAGAATAAAAATTGAGTAAAAATCCAATGAAAGTTTTGTTTGTTTTTGTTTTTTAACTGACGGTATTGATCAAACAACTCTTTATTTGTTGTTGACAATTGATAGGTTAATCATTTACTGTACATCCCTACCCCAATATAGTCAGCCAAAACATGTTTGGTTTACAAAAAGTACAAAAGTACATTGCATCAGACATCATGAAGCATGAATGTTATACAGTGTCAGAAACCACATACGCAAGTCTGTTTTAGATTACAGTTTAAGGCAAGTGTAGTGCAGTTAGCATGATTATAAATTGTGGGATATAAACTTTCTTTACTTCTTTGCTAAATTAGCCTTGTAACACGACATCACCAAACATGGGTTAAGAGGAAAAACTTCCGTTTTAATTCAGTTTTTTCACTGAACTATTCCTTTAAACAAAGTGTTACTGTCTTGATATGTATTTGTTGCTCTGTCTCTGTATAAAACAGTGTATTTCCCCTTTGCTGTGTCCACTCGGACATCTTTATCTGAAGTGGATTCTTGTGAAGTGATGTCAGTGGCCACTGTGCCTTGTGTTGTGAAGCGCTGAGTAAAGAGTCTGTGTGAATAAACTGGCCTCTGCATCTCTCCCTCAGTACCGCACCTATGACCCATGTAAGCAGCTCTGGTGCGCTCACCCAGACAACCCCTTCTTCTGCAAGACCAAGAAAGGACCCCCCATTGACGGCACGATGTGTGGGGACGGCAAGGTGCTGACACGGCTGTGTTTGGAAATTGCTCCTTTATCTTAACTAAATCTCTGAAGCTACAGTGCTGTGCAAAACTGAGAGACTGAGCTTTCATCTACTGAATTACTAGTCATACCAGCTGTTAAGTACAAGTTGGTCATTTGTCAGCAAAAGGGAACAATCTGAAAAACATATATTTAACAGAAAACAGCCTCCCCAGCTAAATATGGCAACTTTCAGCTTCCATTCTTTTCAGGAGACTTGTTTTCAGTTTTTAAAGAAATCTGCAGGAGTTTTTTTTTCACACCTACAAATTTTAGTCTTAGAAGTTGGTTGCATTTTCTGCTTATTGTAATGTCAGTTACAAATGTAAACACTCCCAGCTGTAATGACCTCAGATGTCGATTTTTGTTTTTCTTTTTTGTCTGTGTCCTTCTTTCATTAACAGCTTCTTGACAGTTACACATCCTTTCACACCCATAGCATCTTCTCACTGTGCAAGCAGCTTGATTTCTTTCTCTCGCTCAAAGATGAAAGCTTTAAATGCTGGTTATCTGATGCTGAAAGTTTTGGTGATCTACCTGGACTTGTATGGCTGTTAGTCCCATCTTTTAAGAATTTTTGAACTCCAGGTTTGATAACTCATGTACTTTTTTCACTTATATTAAGTTTCAACTGGAAATGAAAGAATTGAAAGGATGCTCTCTGACTTTTGCACAGTACTCTATTTTTGTCACTTATTTAAAAATTAAAAGGGAAAATGAAATGTTACTCAAAACTTTCAAGAAAAATGTTTACTCATTAATAATTTACTTTTGCCTGTGTGTCTCTCAGCACTGTTTCAAAGGGCACTGTGTGTGGCTGACCCCAGACATCATAAAGCGGGACGGGAACTGGGGTATGTGGAGCGAGTTTGGCGCCTGCACTCGGCCCTGCGGAAGAGGCATTCAGTTTCGCACCCGCGCTTGTGACAATCCACAGTATGTGTGCATGCTCCTCATAGACTCTTTATCATATACAGCATCAGTCAAATGTGTAGACACTGCTGAGTGAGCATATTTTTCATAATTTTGCATTTTGGCTTAAACACTTATACTGAAAATGCTTGGAATTATAGTAAAGATTCCTTTGTGTGGTTTATTCCTCTAAAAAGTTTACATTAATTTTTTTTAAATGCCTATTATCAAGTATTTTTTAGCAGCCAACAAGATCTTAGCATATTGTCGCTGTCCAAATTAAAACAAGTATCTTCGAAATGGTAACTTTCCAACAGAGGGCAAAAAAGGTTCTTTACTTTTGATGTAAGTTAATGTAAAGAGATTTTATTTCAAGCAGTTTTGTAGCATTTCTGTTGGTCCATTCCTTATGAAATTTTCCCATAATGGGAATGGCAGCTGCTGCGCTCAAGTTATGTAGAACAGTAAAAGGAGATAAATGTTTTTCTTTGGACAGCGGGAATATCTGGAGTTTTTTCAGTCCTTCTGGAAAACCTTTCCAGGTTCCCATGACAGCTTCATGAAAACCTGGAATGACTTTCCAGAAGGACTGAAAAAGCTCCTCATAACACCGTTGTCCAAAGACAAACATTTATTTCCAGTTTTTTTCGATTGACAGAATGTCAAAAGTGTGCAATAATGCCTCAGGCTGAAGAGGTGGTATTAGGAATGATCTAAAAGAAAGGGTATTTGATTTGTTTAACACCTTTTGTTCACTGCATGATCCATGATGTCCTTAACAAGGATCATGTGTCTTTGCTTGACTTTTTACTGTCCAAATTCAAACAGTTCTCTTTTCCATTCTTTCGTCTGTCATCTGTAGCCCCGCTAATGGGGGACGCACTTGTACTGGCTCCAACTACCAGTTCCGGATGTGTAACACTCAAGACTGTGAGGACCCATACAAGGACTACAGAGCTGAGCAGTGCAGCATGATGGACAGCAAATTTGAATACCACAACTCCAGACACCACTGGCTGCCTTATGAACACCCTGATCGTGAGTGACTGACAACAGACACTAAAAACCACAGACAGCACACTACAGACACCATACAGTATAGCACAAACAGTACAGTAAACATATGGTATAGTCTAAACACCAAATAGCACAGTCCAAACACCACATACACCTTACAGTGCAATACAGACGTTACAGGCACTAAACAGCGCAGTACAGAGGCTACAGACAGCATACAGGGCAGTACAGAGACTACAGACACCATACCGTGCAGTATAGGCACTACATACACCATGCAGCAGAGTACAGACACTACATACACCATGCAGCAGAGTACAGACAATACAGATATCATACAGTACAGTACAGACACTGCAGACACCATGCAGCAGAGTACAGACCCTACATACACCATGCAGCACAATACAGATGCCACAGACACCATGCAGCAGAGTACAGATAATACAGACATCATACAGTACAGTACAGACACTGCAGACACCATGCAGCAGAGTACAGACCCTACATACACCATGCAGCAGAGTACAGATAATACAGACATCATACAGCACAGTACAGACACTTTAGACACCATTCAGTGCAGTACAGACACCATACAGCGCAGTACAGACACTACAGACACCATGCAGCAGAGTACAGACACTACAGACACCATACAGCACAGTACAGACACCAAGACACCATTCAGTGCAGTACGGACACCATACAGCGCAGTACAGACACTACAGGTAGCATACAGCGCAGTACAGACACTACAAGCACCATACAGTGCAGTACAGACACTACTTACACCATACAGCGCAGTACAGACACCACAGACAACAAATAGCGCAGTGCAGACACTACTTACACCATACAGTGCAGTACAGACACTACAGACACCATACAGCGCAGTACAGACGCTACAGACACCATGCAGCAGAGTACAGACACTGTACATCACAATACAGATGCTACAGACACCATACACCACAGCACTGACACCAAAGGCCCTGCAGTACAGACACAGCAACATTAACTTTTAACATATACTGTGTATATTATGTGTTTTTCTTGCTCTCCTCTGAGCTTGATTTGGATCTAATTTGACTGGTGCCATTTCCCTCTATCTGAATCTGTCCATCGAACCGTGTGATGTACACCAGACAGCTGCTGTGAATTATACTGTGTGAAGAGATGAAAATATGATGACACTGGAGCTGCCAGCTTCAATCTCTCATTTTTTTCCCTACATCCACTTCCTCTGCATGCATGACCTCATCGAGCAAGCTGTGTGTATAGCATATGTAGTCTCCAAAGAGTCTATGGGTTCTCGGCCATTAGCCCAGATCTTACGGCCGCAGCAGACACAGCCAGCTTGGAGCTTAGCTAACCAGGGACTTTTGAATTGTACAGACTTGAAGCCAACTGGAAACAGCAGAATGTGTCGGATCAAAAAACAGCTGGAAAGAGTCACTGGATTTTAGAAGTTAATGTTCCTGCTCTACTGCTAGCAAACAGAGGGATTTTTACTTCCTGACCTCTAGACATGCTGACAGCTCGTGGGCTCAACAGATGTAAGATATAATACCGAAATGTGAGGGTGATTCATGGTATCTGGAATTTAAAAGAAAACTGACTTGGGATCCGTTTATCCAAAAAATTATATATATAATAAATAATAAATAATACCTGAGATTTTTTTTTCTTTTGAAAAATTAAGTACACCCCTGGCTTCAGTAACTGTTTTTGCCCTCTTTGGCAGAAACAACTTTATGTAAGTGTTTCATTTAACTGTCTATCTGTTTCTGACATCTACTGGAAGAAACTTTTGCCCACTGCTGCAAGCAGAATTCTTTTAACCGCGCATTGTTTGAGGGGTTTCTTGCATGTACAGCTTGTTTTAAATCCTCCCCACCCCACAGAATTTCATACTGGGATTCAGACCTGGGCTTTGACTAGGACATTCTGTAAGCTTCCATTTCTTCTTTTTGAGCCATTTTTTGGTGGATTTATTAATAACTGGGGTCATTATTCGGTTGGAAGGTACACTTCTTCAACTTCACTTCTTCCCTTGGGCTCTTATTCTCCTCAAGCACTCTCTGGTATGAAAGAGACTTCATAGTTGATTCTGTGAATGCCAGTTGGCCAGACCCTGAGCTAGCAAAGCAGCCCCAAACCATAAAACTTCCACCACCATACTTCACAGTTGGTATGAGGTTCTTCCAAACCAAACCTGCCTTTGGTTTTTGCCAAACATGGCTCCTGGTACTGTGGCCAAACAACTCTATCTTTGACTTGTCTGTGCATAGCATATTGTTCCAGAAGTCCTGGTCTGGCTCTTTTTAGACAGTAAAGGCTTCTTCCTAGCACACGTTCCATGTAGGTCCATTTCTACAGTCTCTTTCTAATGGTAGAAGCATGCCCTTTGACGTCAACATAGCAAGAGCTACGTTAGATCCTGTGATGAAATTTTGGGCTTCTTTTAGCATCTTATGGTCTGCTTTTGGGGTAAAACCTCCAGCATCTGGTGTGCGGGACAGTGGTGTTAACCACTATGCTCCATTTCAGTAAGTTTAAAAGAATGGAAATGCCCTGCATGAATGACTACACACATTAATTACAACCAACAAGTTATCAGTTGTAATTACCCACTGCAATTTCAGTTTTGCTTGATATAGGATTTTGGCTGCTCAACAGTTTGGTGCCCCCTTTATCATATTTCTTGTTTCATAATGCGGCAAATATTTTCAGTGGGTGACAGGTGCATGTATAGAATGAGGTTTGGCATTGTCTTGCTAAAATAAACAAGACCTTCTCTGAAGAAGAAGCATATGTTGCTCCAAACCTGTTTATATCGTTCAGCATAAAAGTGCAGGTCACTTATGCCGTGTGCACTAATACACCCCATACAAACATTGATGCTGGCTTTTGAAATGTGCACCTATAACAAGCTGGATGGTCCCTCTTCCTTTTAGCCTGGAGGATGCGGCGTCCATTAAATCCAAAAAGACTTTGAAAATTTGGATTGTTGGACCACAGGACTCTTTTCCACTTCCCCTCAGTTCATCTTGAAGGAGCTCAGCCCAGAGAAGGCAGCAGTGTTTCTGGAAGCTGTTTATACATGGCTTCTTCTTTGCATGTCAGAGTTTTAACTTGCAGTTGTGGATGCAGTAATGAGCTGTGATCACAGACAATGTTTTTTGAAAGTGTTTCTGAGCTCATTTAGTGATTTCCACTACAGAATTGTATCTTTTTTTAATGCAGTGCTGCCTGAGTGTCCGAAGATCACGGCCATCCAATATTCATTGTTGGGCTTGTCCCTTGCAAACAGAGATCTCTTTTCACAATTTTATTTAGAGATCTTTTGACAATATTATGTACTGTAATTGATGAAATCCCTAAGCTATTTGCTATTATTCATTGGGAATCATTAAATTGTTACACTATTTGCCCATGCAGTCTTTTACAGAGTGGTGAACCACCCCCATCCTTACTTCAAAAAGACTCAGCCTCTCTGGGATGCTCTTTTTATACCCAATCATGTTACAGACCTGTTCCCAATTATCCTAATTAGTTGTGAGAAGTTCTCCAGATGTTTTTTTTTAGCAATACACAACTTTACCAGTCTTTTCTTGCCCTTGTCCCAACTGCTGGCATCAAATTCAAAATGGTCATATATTTTGAAACAAGTAAATTTCTTAGTTTCAACATTTGATTTGATTAAATATAGGCTTTAAATGATTTGCACATCATTCTGTTTTTATTTACATTTTGCAGAGTCCCAACGTGTTTAAAAATGGTGTTGTATGTGTGTTGATTTGTGATTTCATTATAATTCTAAAGTCTAAACTAGTTAAAACAAGAAAAACTCTTCTGTGTCTGAGCTTTAACTCGTACAGTACAACACATACCAGTAAAACTGTAAAATCATCCGTTGTTCCATAGCCTGTTCCTTGCATGTTCTCCATATGTTCTCTAGCTAATCGTTCTGTTTTCTCTTTTCCTTCCTGTAGCTAAACAGCGCTGCAGCTTATACTGCAAGTCCAAAGAGACCCGAGTTGTGGTGAACATGCAGGAGCTGGTGGAACCAGGCATCCGCTGTTCATACAAAGACCCCTACAGTGTGTGTGTGTATGGGGAATGTGAGGTGAGTTTGTTGGCATGTGAAGGTGTGTGTATATCATATGTCATCAATTGTGTGCTTTGCCTTTTGCTGACAGTGTTCCTATCTCTTCAGAAAGTAGGCTGTGATAATGTGGTGGGCTCAGGGCTTCAGGAGGATAAGTGTGGTGTGTGTGGAGGGGACGGCAGCAAGTGCAAGAACCACAAGTTCAACTTCACCTTCTCTGATAAGAAGGGTATGTTCCTTCTTTTATAAGTTAAATACTGAATTAATATCATCATTATTTCATTTTAGGGCTGTGATTAACCTATATGACCCAATCCCGCAATCTGCTCACCATCCAGAATGATTTCATCCACCTGTGATGATCCATCAGCCAGCAATCCAGCTCTAAAATCACCCAAAACCCACTTGCTGCTGATATATTACATCTCTGCTATTAGCTTTCATATTATAAACGAAGGGTTAAAAATATTGACATGATTCACACATCAGAACACTCAGAGAAACCTGCCATCACTAGCCAGAGTCAGAGAAACCAGCTCTAATATCAAACAACCAAGAAATACAGCAGAAACACACCAGATCACTGTAAAACCCACTATTAGCTCTCTGCTTTAGCCTTCATATGGCAACAAAAGGGTTAATCATTATTTTTTTTTGTTTAATTGCAGTTAATCAAATCTGACCCTAACATTTTTATCCTAGTTTAAAAATGTGTAAAATGTGTAAAGGACATTAAGGAAACTGAATGCCATTAATAATTGATCTATTTGACTATTTTATTTATATAGCAAACTTTCATAACTACATCATCTCTTATATTACTATAATGAATCAAATTAATTAAAAATATTTTTTTTTCTCTTAGAAACATATGCTTATTTCACAGCTAATGTGCTGAAACCCCAATCACTCACAATATGGAACTTTTTGTCCCAGTGGTCCCTTTACAAGGGATCATTGTCGAGTCATGCTTTTGTAGACTTTACAGTTTTGTACAGTGTCTTTGATACACTATTCTCTGCTGCTTGGCCTTTAGGTGTTAATAAAGTTCTGGAAGTTCCTAGAGGGGCGAGACATCTTCTCATCCAGGAACTGAATGGAACAACTCACATTTTGGGTAAGATCTATAAGGATCCCTCTGCCAGAGAAATGACAGAAATGGACTGAGCAGAATTTATGAGTCTCCTTTAGCCTGTGTTCCTAACAGTGCTGCTACTTCTTACTTGTGTAGCTGTGAAGAACAAAGCTACCGGTGATTTCTTCCTGAATTCTCATGGAGATTACCCAGAGACGCGCTCCATCATCGAGAAAGGGCTGGAGTGGGAGTACGAGAACAAGAACAATAAGGACACCATTCAGACCAGCGGTCCACTGAAAAATGATGTTGTTATTATGGTAAACACAAACAGACAAACACACATACAGCATTCTTGGACACATTGTGTGGTTGTTGGTCCAAACCAGACACTTAGGGATGATGTAAGGACAGATGCCGAAATGACGTAGCATAACAGTCTACAGCCTGTGGTAGGTTGCTAAACAAAGTACGTCCTCTGCTGCACCTTCTTGATGACGAGATCCCGGGATATTGAAAGACTGTGTGGAGATGTTGTGGAGACAGCTGAGTCATGGATGAATTAAAAACTGTAGAACAGAGTACAGAGAACGCAAGCCTGCAGAGCTCCACCTCTGAGGGTCAGATAGTCTGAGATGTACTTTCCCAGCTGGTCTGTCAGGAAATCAGTGATCCACCAACAGATGGAGTCAGGCCCAGACAGCTGAGACAGCCCGGTTCATAGGAGCTGTGGGATCAATGTATTAAATTAATAAAGGACCCATGTCGACAAACAGAATCATTAGCAGGCATCCACCAAATTGAAACGCTGTAGAAGAGGGGTGTCCAGTTCTTGCCCTAGGGGAGTTTAGTCCAGCGCAGTTTGGTGGTAATCTTTCTCAAACCCTACTAACCCTGGTAACTATTAATCTCACAAGCCACACTTTGTTGCCAGAGAGTCTGGTGGGTTTTGTCGCTCAACATGGCCAAGAACTTCCTTTTTTAAGAGGAAGAGGACATTTGACTGACATACAAAATGACCAGTCACGTTTGGCTTTGCAGAATGAGTAGGGGCCAGTCATTGTCCTGCAAAACTGCACGTCAAGAAAAACAGAGCTGTTAACTCTGCTGGCATATGCGTGAATATTTACTTGTTACAAAATGCCTTATAAATACCTTACTAAGTTGTGGCCACACATTAGGATCTTGTTCCCATGCCTTACTAAATCATGGCCATGCATAATTTTTTTTAAATTTTTATATATACAGGATGTCACCACTGGGGCTCTGTAGGTTCATACAGCACTCCTGAATAACTTTTAAAGACATTTATTTTTTCAAACCAGTGACTGCATATGACACAAAGGCTACGTTCACACAGCAGGAAAAAGTGGATCAAATCTGATTTTCTCACCAAATCGGATTTTTTTGTTTGGCTGTTCACAGTACTTTTTAAATGTGATCCGTATGCGGCATTAGTCTGAACAGATCAGGTCCTAAACTGTCCCGCATGCGCAAAAAAACAGTGCTTTACGTTGCTTCATGTGGCTCATCCAGAGGTAAACAATCACGACTGCCAACAAACGCCAGTCGCTCCCGGAGGGTTCAGCTTCATCTTCGCCAACATCACAGGAGCCATCGTGAAGCTTCACTGACTGACAGCTGGGCTCATCACCCAGAGTGTGTTCAAGCTCACCCTAAAAAGGGCTCGGTCACTTCTTTGTCCTCACATTCTTTAAACTTTGCTTTGGGTCTTTTAACTGTTCTATGACGCTGCAGCCTTGTTCTCCTATGGCCACGTTTAGCCAGTTCTTTCAAAATCTCTTTGAACATGGAGTGTTTTGGATAAGTCTGTTATAATTTGTGGTACAGAAACATCAGCCTAAATGTTTATGAGGTCTCAGCAGAGAGAAATTATGAGGAATGTGGAGTTCGATTGACGTAAAAGTTGCATGAATTCCGATCTGGCTGTTCAGACTGAGTCGCGTTGCCGCATATCAAGACACAAATCAGATTTCAGTACCACATATGAAAGGGTCTCAAATCGGAATTGAAAATGTCAGAGTCAGTGTGTTTTTTGCTGGTCGCACTGACACACAGATGACACATTTGTGTAATATATGAGGAAAAAGATCAGATTTGTTTACCTGCTGTGTGAACAAAGCCAAAAAGGCTTATTAACGTCATGGTGTGCTGAGCAGGCCACTGATAAGCTAACATTTAGCTTGCTTTAAGTTTGTATCCGACAGGACTGATGAAACACAATGCATGGAAGTGCATGTGTATGAAAATAGACAGCCAATGATAGTGTTTCTTTTTGTGTTCTGTGGGCGGAGCATCTGAGGCTAACTATTTTGAATTGAATTTGACAAGAAAATCACTAGACTCTGCTGTGCTTAGGCCCTTTAATACCACCACTGGACACCCCTGCTGTAGAATGTAGTGCAGGCTTGTGTTTGCAGCATCATCCACAGTTGGCTTTACTAGCAAACCGCAGAAGGTGTAGTCAGGGTGCATGATGTTTTTGAGATTGGCAAGCGTGCAAGCGTGCATCTCTCAAGACTCTCCCAAAGGTTATAGTTCCCCATATAAACACCCCTACTGAGAAACCAGGGCAGCAACGATCACTGCAACACAGTGGCGTCAAGTGGTTTTAAGCTTCGAGTCTTTTTTTGCTACTTGCACAAATGGCATTTCTGATGTCTTGTGTAAAACAAGCATGTGTTAGCCTGTTTTGTGTTATTGACATTTTATATTCAGTGATATATAATGCATCCAGAATTTAAGTTAGTCTCATTCAAAGAGATAGATCTATTCCTTTTTATCACTTAAGTATTAAACAAATATTACAATTTTTTAATGTAGCGTGATGTCTGGGCCTGTTATAATATATCAGACGTGATTTTTTTTAACTGGAATGTAATCTAAGCTGTCAATAGCTAATGAAAATTGCCAAATCAAGTCAAAACAGCCTACATCAAGGTAACCTACTAGTTACTTTACACAACATATTACAGTGGTGAATCTTCTGTGCCTTAACATAGCTAACATTAGCTAGCTAGCTAGTTACAAAAGTTTTGGCTCTAGTGTGTGGAGTAACAAGTATATTGCTCACCTCTAGCTTCTTACGGTCTGTACAGTCCATACTGACCATTCCTCCCCACCAACAACCACAGCCAAATATGTTTTGCTAGTTTCTTCTTTAATGCATTAGGACAAATAATATCACTAACAATAACAGCAGTAATTGATGTCTGCTAGCAACAAGAGAGCAGTTATTGTGCAAGTTTGGCATGTTCAGTTCGACAATAACTTATAGGTTGGGTATTGTATGATCCCCTGTTTTTCATTTGTCATAATAATCAACAATAATCTTTTAAACCTTTAAAAGTCTTTTGTCTGAGACTGAAGAGCACTGTCTGTATTCGCTAGATCCGGATGCATGGCTCAGCCAAAGCGAAGGTGTCGGTCAAATACATCACAGACAATGACAGGCTGAGCGATGGGGCCAACGAGAACAACATGGTGCCTGACAATGCAGTGCCCTACTCCTGGGTGGTGAAGAGGTGGACACCCTGCTCCAAGACCTGCGGGGGAGGTACTGTATCTCAACTTTAATCATTGGCCACATTCAAGACGTTCTCTTCATTTAGTGCACTACTTATTTAATATGTTACTGATGCATTTGTAAGGGAAGATAGGGGGTCAGGAGTCTTGCCCAAGGGCACAACCAGGTTAGTCAATCTTGGGATTTGGACCAGTGAGCTTTTGTTAGGCAAGTGTTGCAAGTGAGGTGAGGGTTCTGTAAGCATAGTTAGATGCTCTACTCAAAGGGTGCTTCATTAAAAACAGCTCATTTTAAAGTTTTGTAGATTGAGTTGGTATCGGCTGATACGCTGCAATAAAAAAAAGATCTTGAAAAAGAAGAAAAATGAAAAACAGATGAAGAAAAAGGTGCTTTAATCAGGCAAAATTATCTGCCAATATGGTAATAATAAAAATAATGATACTGAAAATTGTGCAATAAAATTTCTTAAAGAAAAAAGATGTAGATTATCTTAATATTCTAAAGTCAGTAAATATTTCAGTTAATCTAATGTCATAACCATAATCTTAAATGAGCAAAAACTAGCATATCGCTGTTGTCAGAAGATACCTTGTGCCTCCATTTTTGATGTTTTTCAGTTTTTGACATAATTTGAAAATGCCTGTTACCCTTTACACTATGTGTAAATTACATGATGAATGGACTAAAAGAAACGGCCCAAATATGATATGGAAAAATGTCTGATTCCATAGACTTACATTAAAAGTAAAGTAGGTTTTTTCCTTCTCCTGTAAAGTGCTCATTTCAGAGATATGAGGTTTTGTTCCGAGAGCAGCAATACGAATTTAGCATTTTCTTAAAACCTCATTTGGTACAAAATGTCTTGAAATAAGCTCAATTTAAAACAGCCTTATATCAATACTGTAATGAATTAAAATGACATTTATTTTGAGATTAGACTACATTTACTTGTGTATTCATCAATAGGTTCATCTGCTCACTTGAAAAAAAGAAATTCAAGACAACTATATATTTTGAGTTCAATGTTTTGAAATAACGACTAATGTTTACGACTATAAAGTTAGACTGATATCCAACTGGAAAAATAAATAAGTAAAGTTGTAATGAAACTTGTTTTTTAATAGAAAGAGCTTTAAAACTTGCAGTTCTCTCAAAATGTTTCTCACTTAATTTTAAGAAGTTTGTATAATTAGCTAATGTGTCTATATAAGATATATGTAGGCAAAGTTTCTTACATCTAGCTGATTAATGTTATACAAATCTGGCCTAGCCTGTTAATCTTTACAGAAAAAAAAGTTCATTTTCAAGAGTTGAATTTATTTTTTTAAACAGTTTTACCACTTTTTAACCATGAACTCAAGGGTTTGATATTGGTATCGGTACCAGAAAAGAAAGAGCGGTCTGTAACGGTGACCATTTCTGCCCTCTGTCTCCTGGTTTTACTTCTGTATCTGCAGTTTTAGACATTACACTATCAGAGAGCTCCTCAAATCCAGACCTTAAATCAGTTTCTGGTCCTGGATTTTGTAATTGTCAGAAACTATGACACTAAAAGGACAATGAGTTACATCAACACTTCATTTAAGTATCAGTGATTACAACAGTTTAGCACTGGAAGCTGGATTCCAGGTCAGAATTTGAAGACCTCTGCAGTATGCTCAAATTTATAATATCAAAACAATATTATTATCAAAAGAAAATATCATTTTTTTAATTTTTTATACCAGCTGTCCTTTACTTTGTGTGAACATTTCATGACATACATTTTTGTAGAAAGCCATTTCTGAGATAAGGAGACAGTATTTTACAACAGTAACAATATGCAGCACATGCTCTGTTTTTTTTCAGTGGTTGGTTTACAGTTGTTGAAAAAGTGTTGCAAGGAAGCAGCTGAGATGCTGAGAGACATTTTAAAAATAGCAGTGTGTAAGTGTGTTTACCTCCCCTGCTGCTGCTGCGTAATAAACATCTGCGTGTGGTTCCTCTCGCTGTGTGTGGTGCAGGTACGCAGACGACACGTTACGGCTGCCGCAAGAACGCTGAGATGAGGCTGGTGCACCGGCGCTTCTGTGACAAAATCAAAAAGCCCCCCGTCATGTACCGAGATTGCTACCTAAGAGAGTGCGCTCAGCCCATGTAAGTAAGTGTGTGTGTGACAAACACTGTCCATCATAAGTTTGTGGACACTTACTTTTTACATTTGCAGTTTAAGGTTTGATTTTCACTCTTATGTTTCAGTCAAGTGAGATAAAAAGTATCTTCTCTGTTGTGGATACATCCACAAAACGCAGTATGCAGTATGACTTACTGTGCACTATACAAATATTCACTGCTACAAGTGTTTTACCAAATTCATGTACTGATGTCGTGCATGCAAAACAGAGTCAAATTTTGGTGCATCTGGTGTTCAGCTGAAGTTTTTTGTTTTTATAGTTCACGGTAAGTAATGCTATGCTCTAAACCACAATTACAAGCCTGTTTGACCTTAATGAAGAAGTTTATTAGACTATTGACTTCTAGTGTTTTTAGTGATGTTAGCCTCTTAGCTCTAGAAGCAAAATTTGAACACCAAATGGCTATTTGACTTTACTTTTAATTTAATTCAATGGAACCAGAATTTTTTTCAAGTAATTTTGGGTTGTTTCTTTTGGTCCATTCATCATGAAATTTACACACAATATAAAGGAAAACAGGAATTTTAAAATTATGTCAAAAAATGAAAAATGACCAAAATGGAGATAATTTTTTTTTGTTTATTTTTAAAAAGGGAAGAATAAAAAAAAGGGAAAATGTAGAAAGTAAAGAATTCATTATGGTAAAAAGTGATACTGTTGCCACTGACACCATGAAGAAAAAAAGGGGTCCACTCCATGAGCAGGTTAAGCTTGTAACATAAGTTGCCATGGTGATGTATCCTGGTAAAAAGTCATCCACCATCATGAGACACTCCAAGAAAACTTGATTTAACTAAGCTTAAAGTTAGCTGGATAACCAAGGAATCCTGGTCCATGAAACAGGCCTCTGGAAAGTTTTTTTGTTTTTTTTTTGTTTTTTTCTTAATATAAAGTTTCTACATATCAATAATGAAAACATGTTGGTGTCCACAAACTTTTGACAGGCAATGTGTCTTGCATACATATCTGACCAATATTGGTTTTTACAGTGAGGTCAAACAGCTTAAGTTCAGCCATGAACTTCTGCTATGCCTTTTACCAACAATTCAACAACACTTAAGCTCCGTGATTTATACTCAGAATAAAAAACGTTCTTTATGACCTTTGACTCAGGTATCCTGGTTCTCAGTGAATGCATGTTGTCTGTGTGTGTAGCTGGGTGGCTGGAGAGTGGGGCGAGTGCAGCAAATCCTGCGGCAGGTCCGGCACTCAAACGCGCTCTGTTCGTTGCGTCCAGCCGTTGGGCGACGGCAAGTTCAAGTCCATTCGCAGCCGCTACTGCAGTGACGAGCGTCCCGAATCCCGCCGTGATTGCAATCGCATGCTCTGCCCTGCAGAGTGGAAACTGGGGCCCTGGTCACAGGTATAACACTATTTAATCCACACACACACACACACACACACACACATAGAGATATCTGAGGGTCTTCTCATCTGGCCACCCTGGACCCATTTTTCCCACACCCACCTGAAATCGAAACATTCCCGCTCCCACCCGCGCAGTTCCATCAAGGTTAACTGACATCCAGTATTTGACATAGTCCATTCAGAAATACATTATTTTCTGCTAAAATAACACAGTAGTGATGGTCATCAGGCTCACTGTGAAGTAACTTCACCAAACGCCATTTATTGCCAGTAAACACAAAGCAAGAATTAAACCACAGAGCAGTTATTTTTGGTATTTTGCTGGGCTCGGCAGCTGAGTTGGCTTCGCAAGTCTTTAGAATGGCTTCATTAATTTTATTTATTTTACTGTTATCATTTTGTATTGTTTATATACACGACTTAGTGATTGTTCTACTTTAATTAGGCTATTCACTCATTTGCGAGATTTCTCTCTTTTCAGCGCTGTGGGTGGGAGCCGGCTGGTTACTTGCCTGCTCCCTCTCAAAGCACTGAAAAGTATTCCGGCATTGCAAGAAATTACAAGATGTGGGTCCAGCAGGAATCCTGGGGGAGTACAGGCCTCTAATCTGAAGCTAACCAGAGCATGCCCCCCTAAAACCAGCCCCCACATTTCTCTAGTTTGTGCTCTTTTAATGTCTGTATTACAAACCACAACACAAGCAAAACAAGGTAGCTGGTGAAATGCATGTAATATGTTTTCAATATGCATAATGAACATCTACACACTTAATTGAAGTTTTTGGCAGGACTTTTCAGCCATGCTAACTTGCTAACAGGCCAGCTTGTTGTCTAAAGGACAGTTTGACGAGCCCACCATCACCCTGCACTTTGAGCTCCGCCTTTATGTGGCTTTGGCTTGGTTTCCCACCCCAATAAATCTATCTTCACACCCACACTCAGCTCAAAACTGCTCATTCTTGTCCTCAGATTTCTTTGTGAGATTATGTCTGGACCTGGGGGGGGGGGCATGATTTCATTGATCACGTCTACACAGCTAGCCCTAGTGGCCAGATGGAATATATCATGTCTGGTGCAAAAACCATAAATGTCCACAGACGTTGATTCCAAATCATCTTGCCTTGGTCGGTCACATGAAATTTACAACTTATATCATTGGCTCAAATTATGGTGCTGGTGCCCATGAGATAAATGAGATGTCACACTCTTCTGCACTGAAAAGAATAGCCGTTAATGCTAATCACTCTCTCCAGGCCCTAAATGATCTGCTTGACCTCCATCACCTGACTGATCATGCTAGGCTGGTTCAGGAGGCATGGTTTTAGACTCTAGTCCGAAGGATCAACTGACCTGCACTGTGTAAAATTTCCTCTACCCCAAAACATCTAATCCAGCGTATGAAAGAAGTCTTGATAATTAGCGGATGAGCTGGATATGATACGTTGTTATTGTGTTATTGGGTATGTAACGTTAGCCAACACAGTATCTGCATACAATACAGTTTTAACAATAAATGGTCTTAAACACTGGAGATAATGTAGCCTTTATCTGCTAATTCACCCTTTAACTCTAAAGGCCCGGGTTACCATAGCAACACAGACAACAATCTTGCCTAGCTAGTAGCTAAAGAAACGACAAAGAGAAAGATTTAAGACGAACATCAATAATTTGGAGACGAATGGACTTATTTGCATTTATAAGCACTCAGATGGTTTCCTTATTCGTTTAATCTGCAACCAGAAACTGTCGTGAAGCTGAAGTCAGCTCCTCATTCTCCAGCTTCTTGTTCAAATTTTCCCGTTCCACCTTAATTGGTGCAGCAGTTAGATTCTCATTCTTGCTCCTTAGGCACCATTTAAGGTGGAACGGGAAAATTAGAACAAGAAGCTGGCGAATGAGAAGCGACTTCAGCCTTGTAAAAAGTCAAACGTTGAGAAACATTTTACAAGATATTGCTCCACTATTGCGAAAACGTTTCCTGCCAGAGATGCGAGAAAAGTGGCTATAACTGAGCTAAAGCTTAAAGCAGAGCAAAGTGAGTCTGGATTTTCATTCATATCATATCTTTTAGCCTATACTAGTACATCAGCACATATTGAGACATATTTACAGCCAAGATGGTAAAATAGACATAAAATTTTGAGGCTCCCAAGGTGGTTTGATTTTTGTTGAAAGGACAAAATGGCTCTTCTTAACATTTGGGTTGCCGACCCCTGACCTATGCCATATTTGATCCCTGGGAGTTGATAACAGCTTTGGGAGTTTAAGGGTCAGTTTGCCAAATAAACTTACTGCATTTTACAACAGAGATAACTTGTTGTTTCTGTCCACTGTAATTTGTTTGTATGTGCAGTGTTCAGTGTCGTGTGGCAATGGGACTCAGGAGAGGCAGGTACTCTGTCACACTCGGGACAACACCATCGGTCTCTGTCTGGACTCCAAACCAGCAGCACTGCGACCCTGCAGAATGGATCCATGCCCCAGTGAGTACACACCCACCCACCCTCTACTGAACAACCTGTCACTCTACCTGGGCCGCAGCAGGAGACAGACTCCCTCTGAGGTTTATACTTATGGGCCTGTGATCTGAGATAAATGGCTAAATCCATAGTCCAAATCCAAATCCTAATCCAAAGTGCTCAGTCCTCATATGTGGCCCTCACTCTCACAACTTTCAGATTTGTAGTAGTTTCTGAACGTCTTTAATAATGTTAAAGATGCACTCCAGGGCCACATACATTAAAAGACGCATGACATCATGTACATTTTCAGTAACACTTTAAATCAACATAACCAAAAGCCAAAAACATCTCACAGCAGATGCCATTTTCTGTCATGACAGATTTTGTTCAGTAATGTAACTGTGCCATGTTACCATTACCAGAAACTGCCATGACAGATGCTGTTATGACAGCTTACAATCTGTCATGACAACAGTAACTTTTTTCTTAACTGCTCCAAAGAAAAATTGTCAACCATCCCAAAGTGAAAACTGAGTGCCTAAAATATAAAATTTTGTTTACAATACATTCGTAGCACACACTCACACAGTCACACACTCACACAGTCACACTCACACACTCACACAGTCACACAGTCACACTTACACACTCACACTTACACATGTATGGGTGCACGATGCGTACAAGCACGTATGGTTTATGAATGCATTTATGTGTAGATAGCATCTATAAGAGCGTGTAGCGAAAGCGCACACACACACACACACACACACACACACACACACACACATTTTTAAAACCCTTATCCTCCTGGATCATGAGGGGTACTGGATCCTATCCCAGCGGTCATTGGTCGGAAGGCAGGAAATACCCTGGACATGTCACCAGTCCAGTCCAGTGCAGTTTTTTGCAAAACCTCTTTCAATTATATACTAATATTAATTGTGTACTTAATATTAATAATTAATAAATGGTAATTATAAATAATTATAAACATTTGATTTATTATCATTTATGGCTGCCTCTGGCATTGTAGAATAATAATAATAATAATAATAATAATGATAGCAAGATGATTTTTTTAATAATATGTGAGTTGATGAGATTATTTGGGGGTAATAATAGGGTGTTAAACTCACTCTCTCTCCCCCCTCTCTCTCCCTCTCTTACTTTTATCTCAAACTCTGTCTCCCCTCTCTCTTTATCTTTCTTTTTCTTTCCCTCTTCTCTCTTCCCTCTTTCTCTTTATCTCTTTCTCTTTCTCTGTTTCTACCCCCCTCTCTTTCTCCTCTCTCTCTCTCTCTGTCTTCCCCTTTTCTCTGCACTGCTTTAGAGAGCATGTCGGACTTCAACAAGCATGGTAACTTCCTGATCCAGTGGCTTTCGCGTCATGACCCCAAGTACCCGGTGCAGAGGATCCCAAGTAAAGCGTCCCTGTCCAGCCGGGCCGTCCCGCTGCTCTCTCTCTCCTCTCTCAGCTGGAGCCTGCCACTCTCCCTCTGCTTCGCTCTGCAGGGCAAACTCCCCTGAGCCCCCTCCCCCCAGAGCTCCAAGGCTCGCGTGCTTCTATTTTCCTGGGTGGTGGTCCTCTTTTTCCGGGGGCATCTCTGAAAGAGGGAGATTTCTCCGTTTCTCACTCACTCACTCACTCTCTCTCTCTCTCTTTATCTCTCTGTATCCCTCTCTCTCTCTCTCTCTCTCTCTCCTTTGTGGAGCTCTGTGTTGTGAACGCTGGCCAGTCAGAAATTGTTAACAAAACAAAAAAGCTTGAAGTTTGTCAGAGGAGGGTCGGGTTTGCGATTGGATCGGCAGCTCGAGGAGTCGAGGATTATTTGGGACGGAGCCTCGTGATTGGCTGCCGTCTCCGAGCTGTTGGTTGCGCTCTGAGGGCGGCCGTTTCGACAAAGCGCCGCCGGAGCTTACAAGCGTGAGAGGAACAAAAAAGCGAAAAGAAGTGTCTGAAAAAAAAAAACAACATTACTAAAGCTTTATTGTGAATGTGAACCTGTCACAATGAGGTTAAAAAAAAAACAAAAAAAAAAAACAACAAGAAAATCTTTGCTAAGTGCTCATTTCACATCCTAGTTCATTCTCAGACTGAAAACGAGATCATACGATTTAAGCTGTAAACATGGGAAGTACTGTTGAAGTGCCACGTCGCGCGCCGACGGTGGCCGATGGTGACCATGAGGTGGACCGTCCAGGTGATATAAAAAAAAACAGGGTTTTACTGCACACGATCGATTGCCATAACCACCTCATCCTCCATCCTCTCCGACTGTTAAAAAAAAGAGAAAAAAGTTCAATAAATGCAGCTTATTTGTGCTTGCGAACTTTAAAGGAACATATGAATATATTTGTATTTATAAATCTATATGAATCTATATGAATCTATAAATCTATACGAATACCAATAATATGAATTAATAATTTGTTTTACCATAAATAAGCTGTAGCTTATTTGCCTAACCTTTTGACTGCTATTGATCGCTTTAATCCTTGACTGTTATGTGTACTTTTTTATTGATTTTACATGAATTACAGAAGTATTTAATAACAGTACGTAAGTGTTTGGGGAAAGGGGGTAGATCTATATTATGCAGGACTTGCTCAGCCAGTTGCCTCTCCGTTTTCCGTTTTTTATTTTCAGAGAGAGAAGCGGTTTAACGTTATTTTTTTCCCATTCCGTTCTCACCGCAGCGGTGAGAGGATCACTCTTTATGTCAGGAACATTTCACAGCCCTCACATACCGACAGTGATGAGAGTTTTTTTTTTTTTGTTCGTTTTTCTTGCGTGTGATTGCGTGCGCGTGCGTTTTCGACCGTGGCTGTTTCTCTCGCTTACGACGGACTCACGAAAGGAAGTGATCCATGAAAAAATACCTCACACACCTTCATTTGTTTCGTCATCCGGCTTTCATTATTGTGAGCGTGAGAACAATGCCTTACACTGGATTTGAATGTATCGGCATTTTATCTGCGAACGTATGGCTTTACTCATAGAAACGTTATCGTATCACACGGAACCAGAGGCAGCTTCTAAACAAACAGTGTTAAAGAAACCAAGCAACCGACCCACGTAACAAATACAAAACGTGACTACCCGGTGGGTTTGGGGTGGGGGGGACTTAAAAAAACAAGGCGGAGCGACACTTGGCATCTCTTTATCACTTCAGACTTGTCATTGTATTGTGAAACACATTTCTGTTGTGACTATGTAGCGAGCTATCCGAAGTTTCGTGCTAAAAAAAAGCGCCGTGGGGCAAAAACGTGGGGGGAAAAGCCAGACCTCGCAGTGCGATATTGTAAATAAACATTGGTGTTGACTGTATTTAATAACGTTTATGACTGTTAACTCCTTACTTATCAGAAAAAAGCTAATATTATATGCTATGAGTAACTGTCTGGTTACTTCTATTGGCCTGCTGTGTCTTGGCTGGCTAATGTTTGGGGGGAAAAAACGTTTTTTGGGGGGGAAAAAAACATTCAGATGGACTTAACGTGCACTGCGTCTATATGCACTTTGATTTATCAGGGAAAAACTTTATTAATGTTTTGTAAATGTTTAATATATGACACTTATGTGTGCCATGCCAGTTTTTACATCATCATCGAAAAATCCTGTATTTTATTTAACCAATGACCGATATTGATTTATTTATTTACTTATTTATTTATTTACTTATTTATGTGGTTTGATTTACCAATGGACTGACTGGTCTCCAAGTAATGAAGTGTTTTACCAAAGTTACTGTGAACTTGTACCTTTCGATACAGTCGATTTATTTTTCTGAAGAGATCTCTATATCTATATATTTAAGGGGAGGAGTGCATCTCATTGTTTCAGTTTCTGTCATGAACAACTGCAAAAGTAGGAATAAAAATGTGTTATAAAAAGAGAAGAAGACTGCACTGTTGTGATTTGAGTAAAAGCGATGAATTGATTCACAGAATTTGATTATGTATTATCATTACAGACATTCTGGTGTTGGTCATTCATTGGTTCATAATCTTTCCTGTCTTTCTTAAATCTGCTTTACTGTTACTTCTTCACTCAACTTTCTGTTTCTGCTTATTTCAGCTTTTCTTTCCTTGTACTTTGAAAGTATCCCAGCATACCACTGTGTTCCTATGCAATTAACCCTTAGAAGTGTAGAGCTGTTGTTGTTTTGCCATACATAACTTTTAAAGGTAATTACTTGGGCTGTTAAATTATGTTTTTATTTATTTTTTGCACCAAATAAGTCATGGTTCATTTTTCCATGACCATTTTTCATCCACTCTTTATACCTAAGAATCAAACAGTTTTTGTTACTGTACCTTTAAGACTGTCCTCTGTTCTGATTGGCTGGGCTCATTAAAAAGCAGTCTATGCTGGAACATTCTTTCACAAGAAAGGGCGGGTCTAAACTGCTGTGTTTGCATTTAGTATCCATATATGGACTGTATGAACTGCAGAGTGGACGGTAAGTTTTGGAATTTTAACTGTGTTTTCATACGACATCAAACTCTTTTTTTTAAAAAAAAAAACTTAAGTGAGGACAATTTCAATGATACGAGCCCTTTCATTTAATTAATTGTGTTGTTTTGTTTAGTTAATCATGATAAATCACATTTGTCATATTTGCTCAATCACATTTGTCATATTTGCTCAATCACATTTGTCATATTTGACCGTAAAGAAAGATTTTTTTGTTGTGAAAAGCAATTGCAAAATAAGCTTCACTGTATTCAATACTATCAGTACTTTAATAACGTTATTTTAGTCATGGTTGAACATGAAAGTGTCTACAGATTGAACACAGTTTCCAGTTTTCATCACCGGCGTCCAGTGAGAGCAACAGTGGTTGCACGTTCCAACCACTGAGTTCATTTATCATATATATAATATACATCAATGGCTCCAGCTCCTCTGTGATTGTAGCTTCTCGTTGTCTCTTTTGCTTGTACAGCTCATGAATTCTACTTTGTTATTGCTATGTTAGTTTTCTGCCCGTTGATTTATTCAGCATAGTCTGAAAAGATTTAATATTTAGGTGTTAAAACTCACGATACTGTGTAAGACACCATGCCAGCTTTATTCCTTATGCACCATTATAGACATAGATAATCTGTTAAATGATGGCTGTTCTACTGCAAAAATGGCGATGAGTTCCTTTTTGGCATTCCTTATTTCAGTACTCTTTAATTAAACTATTAGCATATGGATTCTTGTTCTTGATAAGTTCAAACAAAGCTTGAGAGGGCTACCATTATGGATTCTATCATACAGCACGTTGCAGCTGGGCTTCAGTCTGGACGACTACGGATGGTTTGAAGGGATCAAACTAGGAAAATGCATTAATGATATTAATTTGGTCCATTATTACTGTGTTAACTTTAACAGCCCTAGTAATTACATATTTTATTACATGGTTACGTAGTAAATTAAATATACATTTACACTCTTGCATACAGGTTTGAGTCCGCACTTTTTTCTGTTTGTTTCAATGTCAGACAGTGACAAAAGCATGGAAAAATGCAAAGGATAGTTTTTCTTTTTTACAAAACAAAACTGCACACAAGAATAACTGCAAAAATAACACAAAAATAACTGCAAATTCAAATTACTATAAAACATCAAATGTAAAGTTGATTGAAATCTGCATTGTCGACAATATTTCTCATCGTTTCAACAAGCTATGAGTGAATGATAATGAATCTAAAATGACATCATGATTAGTTATCGCAGTAAATGTGACTTCTAAGGGTTAATAAGTAGTATTTTTAGTGTGCGCTTATTTAACCCAGTCTGAGTGTTCTACTCTGTTGTATTGCAGAGCAACGGTGTAATGGTGACCGCTCAGTGTTCTGCAAGATGGACGTGCTGTCCCAGTACTGCTCACTGGCTGGCTTCCAGCGCCTTTGCTGCAAGTCTTGTAACACCACCAACAACACGAGAACCGCTGCTCCCACCAGCCTTCCATTTACTACTCCAAGACTGACCAATGGGGCACCCTCCAGCTCCACCAAAAGCCCCAGTTCTACCCAGATGAAAACCACAATGCCACCTACTGCCGAAAGCCCCAGTTATACCCAGATGAAAACCACAACGCCACCTACTGCCAAAAGCCCCAGTTATACCCAGATAACAACCACAACGCCACCTACTGCCAAAAGCCCCAGTTATACCCAGATAACAACCACAACGCCACCTACTGCCAAAAGCCCCAGTTATACCCAGATAACAACCACAACGCCACCTACTGCCAAAAGCCCCAGTTATACCCAGATAACAACCACAATGCCACCTACTGCCAAAAGCCTCAGTTCTAGCCAGATGAAAACCACAATGCCACCTACTGCCGAAAGCCCCAGTTCTACCCAGAAGAAAACCACAACGCCACCTACTGCCGAAAGCCTCAGTTCTAGCCAGATGAAAACCACAATGCCACCTACTGCCAAAAGCCCCAGTTCTACCCAGATGAAAACCACAACGCCACCTACTGCCAAGAGCCCCAGTTCTAACCAGATGACAACCACAACACCACCTACTGCCAAAAGACCCAGTTCTAACCAGACGACAACCACAACACCACCTACTGCCAAAAGCCCCCGGTCTAACCAGGCGACAACCACAACACCACCTACTGCCGAAAGCCCCAGTTCTGCCCAGACGACAACCACAATGCCACTTAGTGCCAAAAGCCCCAGTTCTACCCAGAAGAAAACCAAAACAACACCTACTGCCAAAAGCCCCAGTTCTACCCAGAAGAAAACCACAACGCCACCTCCTGCCAAAAGCCCCAATTCTGCCCAGAAGAAAACCACAACGCCACCTACTGCCAAAAGACCCAGTTCTACCCAGGAGAAAACCACAACACCACCTCCTGCCAAAAGCCCCAATTCTGGCCAGAAGAAAACCACAACACCACCTACTGCCAAAAGCCCCAGCTCTACTAAGAAGAAAACCACAACGCCACCTACTGCCAAAAGACCCAATTCTGCCCAGAAGAAAACCACAACGCCACCTACTGCCAAAAGACCCAGTTCTGCCCAGAAGAAAACTACAACGCCACCTACTGCCAAAAGACCCAGTTCTGCCCAGAAGAAAACCACAACGCCACCTACTGCCAAAAGACCCAGTTCTGCCCAGAAGAAAACTACAACGCCACCTACTGCCAAAAGACCCAGTTCTACCCAGGAGAAAACCACAACACCACTTACTGCCAAAATCCCCAGTTCTGCCCAGAAGAAAACCACAACGCCACCTACTGCCAAAAGACCCAGTTCTGCCCAGAAGAAAACTACAACGCCACCTACTGCCAAAAGACCCAGTTCTGCCCAGAAGAAAACCACAACGCCACCTACTGCCAAAAGACCCAGTTCTGCCCAGAAGAAAACCATAACGCCACCTACTGCCAAAAGTCCCAGTTCTGCCCAGAAGAAAACCACAACGCCACCTACTGCCAAAAGCCCCAATTCTACCCAAAAGAAAACCACAACACTACCTGCTGCCAGACGTCCAAGGACCACTGCAGCAGTTATTTCTCCACTTACAACCACAGGACACAATCCCTGGTCTTATACGTCCTTTGCAGCATCTACAGCTGCTATTGCTGGCACTTTGTTTCCTATTCATGAACAAACTACAACACCCAGCATCTCTATGACCACATCAAACAACTTCCTCACACAGCTAGGCATGTCTTCTGCAGCGGTGTTCACGCTGAGACCCCGGACCACTGGTGTCAACGTCAACTTTGACATTAGTGGTGATGTGACAGCTAGCACTAATGAAATTAGCAACAGTGTCACTATTACAGAAGGCTTGTCCAGCACCATGACCCTACTTGAGGACACACTGGTCAGCAGTGGTGTATCTTCGGAGTCCCAGACCACATTGGCCAGTGGAGATGAAGAAAAAGAGTTCACCACATCAGGTTGGCTGGAGGCCACAACGTCTGCGGATGCTAGTGCACCGTTAATACTGACGACACTGTTGTCAAGCAATGAAGAAACAAAAACACCTGAAGAAGTTGCTGCCATGGCAACAACACCTGTTACAAAACCAACAACATCGCCCATAACAACGGCATCGACAACAGCGCCCACGACAACGACATTCATTATGAGGCCAGCCATGATGACCGCAACAATGACTACAATAGAGGAGTCATCAACAACACAAAAGACAACAACAACAACAACAACATCCAGACCACCTGAAAGAGAAGAGGAAAACAATGCTATTGAAGTTCCATTCCGAATCACCGGGTTGGACACGGAGTTCCCCGAGAGCAACGTGATTCACCGGAGAAGCCGCATCTTCCTGCATGAACGAACACGCAACAAGCGCATACAGGAGCTGCTCGAGGAGAAGCGAAACTTTTTACGGCGAATGAAAAGAGCTCAGAGCGTCTGAGCCCAGCCTGGTTTCTCTTATAGAGAGATGTGTCTATGCAACAAAATCCACACTCTATCTTGGTGCTTGGGTTAAGTACTGGAAGATGGTCGAACTCACGCCACAGTACCATCACTGCCACAAAGTGCTTCCCCGCATTCACTGTCCAAAGCATGGCAAACTGGACTTTGTGGAGCAAAACCACTAGCAAATGTTTGCACACTTGATCAGAAGGCAAAGAACTTTTACTTCAAACGATTTATATTTGTAGAAACCAGGAAATGGATTTGTAGCTATACCATTTTATCCTGTGCCAAAAACATTTTGTCTACATTTCCACATAGACCCCATACTGTACACATATAGAAGGCACATATTTTTCTCTATGCAGATGCATATTAAGAGTGATATATGAAAAGATTTAATATTTAGGTTTCAAAAACTCAAGATACTGACACCATGCCAACCTTATTCATGATGCACCATTATGCATGTAGACATGATAAAACAGTGGCTGTTCTACCGCATAAATGGCAATGAGTTCCTTAATGGCATTCCTTATTTTAATACTCCTTAATTAAACTATTAGCATTTCAATTTGGATTCTTGTTCTTGATAAGCTCAAACTCATGTACAGCAGAATATATTTTCCTCAGTTTTCTAAATAATTGCACACAGGGTATGACAGAGCTAATAAAGGGGAATTCCATCAAAAAATCTGCATAATTCAGTGTCTGAGATGTAAACAAAGTCATTTAGAGACTTTAGAGACATTTGGCTACCGGATCTCATTTCTTTACAGTGGTGGTGATAGGAACCAGGGGTCAGCTTGTTTACAACACAAATATAACCATTTTATTTACTATCCAAAAATTTCCCAAATTACATTTTGGACCAAAATCATATCTCAAAACTGCATATTTGTAACCATTATGTCCAATAACCTTCTGGGGAGTCTCAAACTCAAATTACTGGGGGCCATTGGACAAGTGGTCTTTTCCAAGGGAGGGGATGATAAAAATAATGCAGTGAAAAGGTGAGAATGTAAGTATTTCTGGAGTGTATCTACATAACAGATACACTCCTTAACTATTCCTTTGTCACTATAAACAACAACAACTAATACTACTATTACTACTACTACTACTACTACTATAATAATAATAATAGCAGTAGTGCTAATAGTGTAAATATATAGTATTAAATAAATATTTTTGTATTTAATTAAATCCAGAAAACTTGTAACAGTAGAATAATATGGGACTCTTATTGTGATAGCATTTGCGTTCCTACCGAATGAAATTGAAGAGAGTGGTTAAATCTGCATTCTCAGTGGATTTGTTTGATAATTCCATTCATCTCTTAATTCTACTGCTGTGTCATGAATGAATTCATGAAGGCAGATTTAACTATCAGTCTAAATTATATATGAATAATAGCAGCGTTCATGCTGCACATAAAATTTTAATAAAAAATATTCGTGAGCCAGATTGATAGATAAGTTGTAAATATGTGATAGGCTATATGAAGCTGTCTTGGTAGTCTGAGACCCCTATTTTAAAGGCATTTAACCCTACAGATGTCTGGTTCATCAGAATGCAGCATTTCACATCAAACTGCTCTGAATGGCTTTCTTTACATATTAATAGTTTAATTATGCTGAACTTTCAGTGGAATTCCCCTTTAAGACCTTCTTGGTGCTACAGGGATATTATATATTAAATGTTAGTCCTAGGGACAATGTCTGCGTCCACTCTAAGCTACGTTTTGGGGCAAATCCAAGCACTTCTTCATATCAATATAAAACCGAAAATAGTTCGGCAGAATCAATTCTTATTTTCCCTATTTAGCGAAGACCGTTGCTCTCCATCGCATCTCTGTCGCATCTCTGCTGCACGATGTGTATTTATTGTGAAAGAACATGAACAACTTTAGTGGAAGTTTGTTGTCATTGATTAGTAGTTTGACAAATTCAGGGATGCACAATATTGTTTTTATTCATTTTGTTGAAAGACAAAAAGCTCTCAGCTTATCTTTCGTACTTGTTAAGCACCTTGTGTTGAAATGTCACAAAAAGCTGATCAGGTGGTTGTATATTTTTTATACTTGTCAGGATAAGAGCAATATCCCCATAAGTGAGACTTGTAACTATTGTATATATTATTTGTGGAAAGCAAGAAAAAAAATACACCAGAACTGAAATAAATTTTATCTTCTGCAAGAATGTTTTGACAGCATGTCATTCTGTCTAATAACATAATGCGCCGTATTTGATTTGGTCTAAATGTGCCTGATGTTGGAGGTTTTTCTTAACCCTTGTGTGGTATTGATGTTTTTGTTACTCAGTGGTCTGTTGGACCCACTGCATTATTGGTTTTAGCCATAACAATTTATGTAAAAATACCAGATGTTTAAAATATCACAAGTGGCCAGCGTAGGGTTCTCCTTTAGCAGCTGTAGCCAGGTGTGGATTTGTCACTGACTACCATCTGCAAAAGACTTCATGTACAGAAATGCAGGGGCAAGATGTAAGCCAGTAGTTAGCCACAGAAACAGAATGTCCAGGTTAGTGTTTGCTGAAAGGTGCTTAAAAGAGCCTGCAAAGTTTTGGAAAAAGGTCTTATGAACAGATGAGGCAAAGATTAACTCGTAGTGGAGCGATGGCAAGAGCAAGGTGTGAAGACTGCCCAAGATCCAAAGCAAACCAGCTCATCTGTGAAACATGGTGGTGGCAGTGTTACGGCTTGGGCCTGTATGGCTACTACAGCTGCTGGCTCACTCATCCTTATTGATGATGTAACTGCTGTAGCAAAAATAATTCTGCCAAAGCAACAATAGTTTTTCAAAGCTAAGAACTTGAAATGCAGGGGCTACACTGCAAGATGTTAGCCACAGAAACAGAACGTCCAGGTTAGTGTTTGCTAAAAGGTGCCTAAAAGAGCCTGCAAAGTTTTGGAAAAAGGTGATGAGACAAAGATTAACTCGTAGCGGAGTGATGGCAAGAACAAGGTGTGGAGACTCATCCTTACTGATGATGTAATGAGACATCCTTATTGATGATGTAACTGCTATAGCAAAACTAATTCTGCCAAAGCAACAATAGTTTTTCAAAGCTAAGAACTTGAAATGCACGGGCTACACTGCAAGATGCAAGCCAGTAGTTAGCCACAGAAACAGAATGTCCAAGATCCAAAGCAAACCAGCTCATCTGTGAAACATGGTGGTGGCAGTGTTACGGCTTGGGCCTGTATGGCTACTACAGCTGCTGGCTCACTCATCCTTATTGATGATGTAACTGCTATAGCAAAAATAATTCTGCCAAAGCAACAATAGTTTTTCAAAGCTAAGAACTGTAAAATTCCTGACTGGCTAGGTCAGTCAGCTGATCTGAATCCCACTGATCATGCCATTCATATCACTGTCACCCTTGAACTTCTGAGCATCTGCCTATTACATTTAGTGAAAATTTCATGATCAGTAAACCAATAAAAATGTTCCAAAAATGCCTGGAATAAAAGCTTTTTGCCTTAACTTACATTAAAGGTTAAGAACTTAAGGGGGCTAAACAAGGCCCGAAACAAGCAGGCGTTGAAGAAGTCCAGAGCATTACCAGAGAAGATACTCAACACCTGGTGATGTGTAAGGGTCACAAACTTTAAGCAGTCACTGAATGCAAAGGATTTGCAACAAAGTAACATGACTAACTTACTGTTATTAGTCTATAATTTACTCAGAGGGAGGCTGTATATAAAAAGTGCTCTAATTTCTACATAGTAAAACTAAAATGTATAAAAAAATACCCTTCATTAAAATCTGAGGGTGTGCACTTTAACCACATGTGACCTGTTTGACTACACATTTAAAACTGTGGAGTGCAGTTATGCCTTTGTCTCAAACATCATGGAGGCCACTGTGGCTCTAATTCTAATAGTATCCTTTTAATTCTGGCACTTTACACCTTGGAATCAGTTTCTAAATTGAAATCTTTCTGCATTACTTGCAGTAATTCAGAATAGTAGTACAGAAAGGCTAAGAGATCCAGCAGATGGTGCCATTTAGCAGAGATTAAACAACCACTTTATCTGCAGGCCTGTTTTACACTAACCTTGAAGAGCTATAACTTTCAAACACACAATATTAAAACACCCACCATATTTGCACCATGATAACAATTGGTGTTGAAATATTTATGAGTGCTGCTGTACAGTCAGTTAAGGTATCTTAGACGACTTTATGAAATAAGCTGTAGTTACTTTTTTACAAGCATACACTACTGTTCAAAACGTTAAGACTGGAATTCTTGTTTTCAATCATAAAAGAGGAATCTGGTTACAAAGTTTTCTGATATGCTATTTCCGTGCAACTTCACAAGTAATTATTAGGATGTTGTAAATAAAAATGATGTCCAGAATGATGAGTGGAACTGTAGAGGATTCTAAGCTGATGGATAACGCTGTATAACATTGAGATTTAGGTCAAAATAAAATCTCAAGGCCAAAAACTTCAAAATGATTAATTTGGTTACAGCATATTTATCACTATATTCACTTATTGTTCACAGAATTCTTAAAATATTGAATAAAACTTTAAGAAATGGCAAAGAATTTATAACAATTAATTGATATTTATAAAATAGCATAGCAAAATGAAGCTCCAGTTCGGTTAACCTTTAATTTGGTTCATGGTTCATGATGCCAATGAAAAATGGTGAGTTTCTATTAAGTGGAAATGAAAACCACTGGCAGTTGGTTGTCGTTTGCCATACAACAACTTGATTTCAATCTGACTAGCTGAAGATGCATTCGAGTACCGAGTGTAAATGCATGTGGTTAAAATCAGAATACAGTGGTGCTTGAAAGTTTGCAAACCCTTTAGAATTTTCTATATTTCTGCATAAATTGGACTAAAACTTCATCCGACCAATGGAAGTCCTAATAATAGATAAAGAGAACCAAACTAAACAGCTGAGACAAACATATCCCACCTGGTCATTTATGTATTGAGGAAAATGATCCAATATTACATATCTGTGAGTGGCAAAAGTACGTGTACCTTTGCTTTCAGTATCTGGTGTGACCCCCTCGTGAAGCAATAACTAAACGTTTCCAGTAACTGTTGATTAGTCCTGCACATAAAATAAAATTTTAGCCCCTCCGTACAAAACAGCTTCAACTCTGTTATGTTGGTGGGTTTCCTCCCATGAACTTCTTGCTTCGGGTCCTTCCACAACATTTCTACTGGATTAAGATCAGGACTTTGACTTGGCCATTCCGAAACATTAACTTTATTCTTCTTTAATCATTCTTTGGTAGAACGACTGTGCTTAGGATCAAAAGAACCCACGTTCTCTGGAGTTTCAGCTCCCAGACAGATGTCCTGATATTTTCTTTTAGAATTTGCTGGTATAATTCAGAATTCATCGTTCCACCAATGATGGCAAGCCGTCCTGGCCCAGATGCAACAAAACAGGCCCAAACCATGACACTACAGCCACTGTAATCTTTGTAACCTTTTCCAGCCTGATGAACATCAATAACTCTTCTTCTGAGGTCCTTTGTTCGTGCCATGATACACTTCCACAAATGTGTTGTGAAGATCAGACTGTGATAGATCCCTGTTAAATAAAACAGGGTGGTCACTCACACCTGATTGCCATCCCATTGATTGAAAACACCTGACTCTAATTTCACCTTCACATTATCTGCTAATCCTAAAGGTTCACATACTTTTGCCACTCACAGATCTGGATTATTGGATCATTTTCCTCAATAATTAAATGTTTTTTTTTGTGTTCTCTGCATGCACTTATCACCCAGTGTCAGCAGAGGCTAACAATAAAGGCTGCTGATGATAAAGTGTGTACTTGGGGGTCAATCCAATGTACAGAATGTTCACAGTTCTGAAAAATAAGTCACTTGTCACTCGTACACACTTATGCATAAAAGAAAATAGTCCTGACTGAGGAATTAGTCTTGGAATGTGAATGTGAATGTGAAGCATGAGGTCAGATTTGACCCACAGCATTTCTTAGTCATGACCACCAGGTGGCAGTGATTCAGAGGGCTTTGTCGGATGCAGACCTGTCAAAAGATGTTTCATGCTGTGTTTCTGAGCAGTTACAGGTCACACTCCATTCCAAAGGAAATAATCTCCTTCTCA